GATAAAATGTCCTTGAAAAGTCCTTGAAAAAATGTTCAGTCCTCCTGTATGAACCATGATACATAACTCATACGTCTCATCAAGAACGCATAAGCTGGGTGATAGTTCACGTGCTCTTTATCTCGCACACGCAGACGTTCATGCACGCACGCGCGCGTGCACGCGCACGCATACACACCCGCGCGCATGCACGCAAAGAACGCCCACTGACACGATATATACGATGTGCTTGTCTTGCAGGGCAATATGCGAAGGAGGAGCTGCCCAGCTATGAGTGCTTGCCTGCTAACACCGCGCAGCTGTTGGTGCAGGGTATTGCACTCAACAGTGGCTACACATCGAAGATAATGGTACACTCAGATATAATCATGCGGCCTGAATGTGGCAGCGTAAAATTAGCGGGTCCTCGATCGGCCAATGGCTTTCCAAATCTTTAAAGAACATCGGGGGGGATTCATGTCTAGTGATAAAACTTTCATAACTGTGTTAGCGATCACCTGCATAGAACGGACACCTGTTCATGGTGGTCTTAAACACTCCCCTGCTGAAAGTGCTGTCATTCGTACTGTACATAGAAACACTGCCTTAATTTGTGTCCCTCATATCCCCACGAGGTGGGGTTAGCATGGCTGGGATGGCTGTCTTAGATATCTTGATATCAACGTATTGTGTCATCAATATTTATCAAAATTTTCACTTGTGAATTAATGGCAAACTAACTATTATTAGATTTCTGTGAGTATGCTTATTTTTAGTTATTGATTACATGATTTTCTCATTTTCTTACTGTTTTTGTGTAAAATCTATATATAAATATTAGCATGCTAATTAAAACTTACCCAACCCACGCCACCATGCATTACCATGATGTCATCATTGCTATAGTTGTAGTCTAGATAATGTAAACAATTTGGTGGAAGAATTATTTGAACTACCTATAAGCTAAATCTTGGTCACCGGCAGAGGTCGTGAGTACTCGGTGCCAGGCCGGGTCGCCCCACTCAACGAACGTCCCCTAGCGATATTTATCAGTTTATTTTAATGTGCATGCAGTTTTCCCTTTATTGCTATAGAGCGTGCAGCCATCGATCGATCTGCACGTCTCCGATTATAAAAAATTAACGATCGAGCGAGTGTCGCCCACCTGCCTCGACGAGCCGGGCGTGACATATCCGTATGCTCGCCACGTTATGTTGATTCCTCGCGGAATCGTTTGCAGTTTTCGAAAGTTCCGGGCGAACCGCCGAAGCAGGTTGGCAATAAGACAGAGTGTGCCTTACTCGGGCTGGTGCATCACTTTGGCAAGGACTACAAGACTGTCCGGGACGAGATGCCTGAGGAATCCCTGACGAAGGTAAGTAGTGCTGTGAGGGACAAGAGGGTTCTAGTGAACCCCTTACATAAAACATGTGGTCATTGAGGCCGTGTGTGAGAAACTTGAAAGAATGCCGGTTGCACGTGATGCCTAATGGTGGTGATAGTGACAACTTGCTATTTGGCGCTACTGCTGATGCGCGTGTCTGCTTATCTCACTACACTACGTTCGGTGACATTTTAAGCAGCTCCACGTGCAACCTAAACGCTGGTAGTTTTCAAATATGAGGACGAGTGCGTGAACGAGAGTGGATGTGTAGTCAGTGTGGCAATCGGGTGCCCGCGCTACTACAATTAGTTTTAACGACTGCTACGTTCACCTGATGAAGTTACTTGCATAGCACTCATCGTGCGTTCATGTGTCGTGTCTTCTGCCACAGGTATACACGTTTAACTCTGTGCGCAAGTCCATGAGTACAGTGGTGCCGCGGCCGGGCGGCGGACTCCGTGTGCACAGCAAGGGTGCTTCTGAAATTGTGCTGAAAAGGCGAGTGCTGCAGATGTGTGTGCTGAGAAGGTCTTGCATTAATAGTGATCTTCTTCTGTTCGGTGCATGTTTGCTGGCTCCCATAGCGCAAATAATATTGTCAGGTGCAGATAAATTTCATGCAGCGTATGGAAGTCAGTACTAGACCAATTTTGACGATGGCTGTTCGTTTCTGACCAATCTTGCAAATTTCTGACCGTTGCTGATGATTTTTAACCATTGTTGAAAACGTTTACCATTTCTGACGGTTTTAAACCATTGATGAGCATTTCTGACCATTGTTGATAGTTTTTAATGAATTGTTGAAAATTTCTGACCATCGTTGACAGTTTCGGACCATCGTTGGCTTTTTTCGACCATTGTTGAGCGTTTCTGTTCGCGATTGACAATTTCTGACGACTGTTGAGCATTTCCGACCGTCGTTGACAATTTTCGACTGCCGCCGACTCTACGTATCTACATAGCGCGTTCACATCGTGCTAACTCGCCCTCTTCTCGCGCTCTCCGACATCACTGAGCCCGCGTGCTTGTTGTTTCCGTCGCAGGTGCTCTTTCATTCTCAGTGCCAACGGCAAGCCGCAGCGCTTCAACGCGATCGACCGCGCGCTGCTCGTGCGTAACGTCATTGAGCCAATGGCGTGCGACGGCCTGCGCACGATCTGCGTCGCCTACAAGGACTACACGCCGCACGATGCTGACAAGAACGAGGTGCACTACGACGATGCCGGCCCACCGGACCTCGACGATGAGGTTGCCGTGACGACGGGACTCACGTGCATTTGCATCGTCGGCATCCAGGACCCTGTGCGGCCCGAGGTAGGAGCAGCGCCACCTAGTGTGCGTGCGATACGCGGTGTGCCACGGTGCCTCGTGGTGTGTTGTGACGCAACACTAACCACAGCGTCCCTCAGGTTTACTGTGTAACTCGTATTAACATGAGACCTTAAGCAGCTGTGATAGAGTTAGTGTTTGGGATAGAGTGGTAAGGGCCGTAGCTGCACATGTAGTAATTGCAGTGAGTGAAGCTGGTCTCATTTGGCTGTGAACATATATGCGATATTCTGACAGTAATATATGCACTATAAATGTATGCGTCAAACATATGGTTGGTTCTATCACATCATATTTCATGCTGAATTTACATACGTCAGCCATAAAACTTAAATGAATTTATTAATAAACTGCTTTCCAGCAATATGTGAAAAAGGAGATTTCATCATATTTTCATGACATCGAAAGGCTGTAGTTGTTAGGTGACATTTTAACTCGCATGGAGAGCCATTTTTATTTTGTTTTCTTGAATAATTTTTTTGTTGGTATGCTCACATGGAAGCAGACCATTTTAGAGTTGGGTTTTAATTTTAACATTCACTTAGATATCTAGGAAAATTTGATTATCGTTATTTCACATATTCATTTTCTGCATTTGTTTCTGGCACACCGCCGGAGGGAATGGGAGCCGAAGATGTTTTTGCGATGCAAGTTATCCTTGGCTGAAAATAAACGCAAAACCAGTATACACTATTTTTTGCTGTATATACATATATGTTTACATATACTGAGCATAACATTTTGACAGTAACTGTAGTAGTTGCTGTTATCATGTAACTACTGCGAATAAATTGGAAGACTGTGCGAATTGAGATACTCGGGAGTTGATCCTTTGATTTCCCGCGTTTATATTTTTCCGCGTGTTGCTCCTGTATAGGTGCCAGCGGCCATCAAGCGGTGTCAGAGGTCAGGCATCACCGTGCGCATGGTGACGGGTGACAACATCAACACCGCGCGTTCGATTGCCATCAAGTGTGGCATCATCAAAGCACGCGACGATTTCCTCGTCATTGACGGCAAGGAGTTCAACAATCAGATACGGGACGAATCGGGCGAGGTTGGTGCTTGCCGTGTCACGCTGCCTTTCTTTGCTGTTGTGACTAGACACTGATTATCCTAATTACTACCGTGGCGTCTATGCTACTGCTGGATCTGTAGCATGTCTGTGCTTTTATTGCAGTATAGCTTGTCTTCAAATTGTGCTGCAGTTCCCAGTTGCTCACCCACGCTGAAAACTTTTCCTATCAAGCAACCGTGTCTATATGTTTATAAAGTCGCAAAGTATTTATCTGGATTTTTGCTGACCAGTTTAGTGGCTTTTACTGTGGTCTACAGGTAGAGAGCTATAAGTCCATGAAACTAAGTTAACTAAGTTTATTAGAATTTGTTAGCATTTTATGCAGGAGCAGTGTTAACAGCCGGTGCTATCAGATGCATTTTAATGCACAAACCCCTTCCTATCCCTCACATAATACATCCTACTGCTTAACTACTGTAGCAATACACTACTGTAATATATATAAATATATATATATATATATATATAATATGTATCTATATTATGTAAATATATGCAATATCACTATCTTATCTACTATACCACTATGCTTATTTACTGTCCCTCTATGATCATCTATTACAATAGTGTGCTTATCTATTATATCACTATGCTGATTTACTATGATAGTATGCTTATCTGTTATAACACTGTGCCTATCTACTATAATAGTAGGCTCATCTATTATAAAACTATGCTTAACCACCACAGCGCTATGCTCAGGTACTGTAAGAGTGGGACGTGTAGATACTGTAACAGTGACACATGCTAGTGGAATAATGCATAACGCTGGTGCCTCGCAGATAAGCCAGGACCTGCTGGACAAGATATGGCCGCGACTACGCGTGCTCGCTCGCTCCTCACCACAGGACAAGTACAACCTCGTCAAGGGCATCATTGACAGCAAGCTGACAGCAAACAGGGAGGTCGTCGCCGTGACAGGTGACGGAACGAACGACGGGCCAGCTCTGAAGAAAGCCGACGTGGGCTTTGCCATGGTAAGCCGTGAGTCCTGTGTGCTCGTGTGTCACGTCGGGCCGACGTTGTGCTGTATTGAGCGGGATGCCAAGTGTTAAGCATTGCCAGAGAAGATCGAGCACCAGTCCGGCTTGCCACAAGATGTAGTCATTACCACGAAGTACCACGAATGTAATCATGACCACGATGTGGCGACGTAATTGTCATGATTGTGATGAAGCATGCAGTGATCGCGAGTTTGTTCCAATATCTCAGCCACCGGCACGTATATCAACTGCGGACGTGCGGAGGTGGAGGTGTGTGGTAAGATGTGTAGATGTGTGGGTGTAAAGCTAGATGTGTAGAAGCGTGGGTGTGTGGTAAGATGTGTAGATGTGTTGGTGTGTGGTAAGATGTGTAGGTGTGTGGGTGTGTGGTAAGATGTGTGGATGTATAGCTAGATGTGTAGATGTGTGGGTGTGTGGTAAGATGTGTAGATGTGTGGATGTAAAGCTAGATGTGTTGATGTGTGGGTGTGTGGTAAGATGTGTAGATGTGTGGGTGTGTGGTAAGATGTGTAGGTGTGTGGATGTATAGCTAGATGTGTAGATGCGTGGGTGTGTGGTAAGATGTGTAGGTGTGTGGATGTATAGCTAGATGTGTAGATGCGTGGGTGTGTGGTAAGATGTGTAGGTGTGTGGATGTATAGCTAGATGTGTAGATGTGTGGATGTATAGCTGGATGTGGTGCAGTTTCACAAGCAGCTTTGTTACAGGGCATCGCCGGCACCGATGTTGCCAAAGAAGCGTCCGATATCATCCTCACCGACGACAACTTCACTTCTATAGTGAAGGCTGTCATGTGGGGCAGAAACGTCTACGACAGCATAGCCAAGTTTCTGCAGTTCCAGCTGACTGTCAACGTCGTTGCCGTCATCGTTGCCTTCGTCGGCGCCATTGTTATTAAGGTGGGTACAGGATTGACACGCGATACTGCTCTCGATGACGATTCTAGTGGTGATGTTGGTAGTAAAGATTAGGTGAGGATTCTAGAACTATGCTACAGCCCACGTACATGACAGGCAGTCTTTAATCCGTAGGTGTTCGCAAGCGTGTCGACACACTCGTGTAATTCACCTACTCTGCGTTTTTTAACGGGAGCCGAGAAAGGTCGGACAATACACGCTATGCTAGCTACGCACTCTTCAAACGAGTATCTACTCTGCACAGTGTCTTAAGCACTGCAGTTAGCTAGATACATGACACATCACACTGGATCCCCCTTGCCAAGTAACGCGAATAAGAGTTTGACGTGCGCGCCACTTTGCTTGCTTACAGGACAGGCCACTGAAGGTGGTACAGATGCTGTGGTTGAACCTCATTGTGGACACACTGACGTCTGTCCCCACTGACCGTCGTCTACCCTACTGACCGTCGTCCACCCCACTGACTGTCGTCCACCCCACTGACCACTGTGCCCCCCTTGTGCTTACAGGACAGCCCGCTGAAGGCGGTACAGATGCTGTGGGTGAACCTCATCATGGACACTCTGGCGTCGCTGGCGCTGGCCACCGAGCCACCGACACATGACCTGCTAAAGCGCAAGCCGTACGGCCGCACGAAGCCGCTCATCTCGCGCACGATGATGAAGAACATCCTCGGGCAAGCTGTCTACCAGCTGACCGTCGTGTTTGTGCTGCTGTTCTGTGGTGAGTACCACCGCTAACCTGCGCACGTGTGATGTCCAGCTGCTCGGTAACTACGCCGGATCACTCTCACATTTTTCCCTCCACCAGCTTCCTGGGTTTTTTTTCTTGTGGTCGTGGTGGTCGTGCATCTATTCTGTTTAATATGTTACTTACATTCGTACCAAACACTTCGCGTCAGATACTTGCTGATACTTGCTCAGATAGTACTTGAACTGGTTATTGTTTGTCTCTGTTTATAGTGATGGATTTCGCTACTTTCTTGGAGCAGTGCAGTGTAAACTGGATTCGTCGATGTTATGTTAAAAATTAAATTCTGCCTTCGATTCTTCATCTGCTACATGCTGCAACATTAGATGCTGTCTTAACATTCAGTGGACAATATTAGAAGTAATTGTTCCCCGATCAAATCGTTGAATGTGTCTTAATCTTCATCTGCCATTTATTTCGCGTGCACAGGTCATACTATTTTTGACATTGAGGATGGGCGAGGGCTGACGTTTGGAGCGCCTCCATCAGAGCACTTCACGATCATCTTTAACGCCTTTGTGATGATGACCGTCTTCAACGAGATTAATGCACGGAAGATTCACGGCGAGCGCAACGTCTTCCAGGGCATTCTGAAAAATCCCATCTACTACGGAATCTGGTTAACTACGCTGCTGTTGCAGGTGCGCTCCCCATGTCTGCCAGGCACACCGACTCTTACCTTTTCCTCCACACCCCACATTCTTCCTCCTGGTGTACTTCTTCCACATTCTCCGCATCCTCATCTCCATCATTTTCCACTTCCAACCTGCACTCATTCACTGTTAGTCATCTATTCCATCCTACTCAATATTCTACTCTGTGCACTATCCATCTGTGCTTTTCGTACATCTCGCTGCTTTAGTGCACAATAAACACTCAGTATATAGCTGCACATTTGCGTGCTCTCGAGTCGACAGGACGGCTGAGATAGGCCAGGCGTGTGCGTTGCTCATTTCTTAAGTCCATCCAAATAGCAAACTCGTCTCTGGTGTAATATAGCATGAGCAATTAATTCAGCCACTTATCTCGATGAACAATTAATTACTCGTCTGCATCTCTGATTAGCTATTACGCTCCATTACCAGTACGTTCAGGTTTCAGCGTGTCGCTCTCCGTTACCGCAGGTTATCATCGTTGAGTTTGGCGGTCCTGCCTTCTCCACGACGGGACTGACGCTGGACCATTGGGTGTGGTGTATCTTCCTCGGCATGGGTACGTTGGTGTGGGGCCAGCTCGTCACCAGCATGCCGACCAAGAAACTACCGAAGAAGTTCTTCAGCTGGGGCGCGGCGCCGCCGACGGAGGACATGCATTACGACGTGCGTCTACTTCAATCTTAACTTTCCTCGAATCGGGGAGCGAGATTAGCTGTGCACCCGCTGCTAACAGTATTCTCATTGGAACGATCGTATTTTTGTTTGTTTTTGTTTATCTCTTCAAAGTTAGGCGTTTGGTTGCCGTCGTGGTTCATTTTGGGATGTCATTGTGAGGATGTTTGAATGAACAGTGTTAAATGTCGCAACACGTGGCTTTGACTTCACTTGTTCACATTGCTTCATATATTCGCCTGTGCATCGAGTATTCCAAAGTGTAACTCGACCGTGTACTGCATCTTCCAGATGGGACCTGAGCCTCGCTCTCGCGGTGGCTCCATTGATAACGTTAGAACTGGGCAGATCCTGTGGCTGAGAGGCCTGACCAGACTACAGACACAGGTAGGTGGCGCCATCTATACGGATATCTCATTGGGCAAGAGTGGGCTGTTGTCCCTGTTAGCAAACATACGACAAAGCGATTTTTCCACGGACAAGGTTGTAGGGTTAGACTGGTTACCTATCCTACTAAGTTCATGCCTATGCGATGACATTCAACATGTAAAGAAAATGATGAATTAGCATAAGGTGTATGGGATAAAACCATCCAATGGTTGTTGCTCAATCCAAGTTCCATTTCTGTCAAGCTAGTTGTTCTTAGAATGTTGCCAAATCCAATGCCATTGCCATCTTCAAAATCAACGGAGGCGAATGAAATCAGCTCTGCAGTGATGCTACGCACACCTTGCCCATTGAGATTGTTTCTTGTTTCTCATTCTGACGCATTGCTTTCATATGTGACAAATTTCACGACATGTCGCAGCAACAAGCAGCTCACATTTCCTGCACAGAGCAGCACTAGCAAAGCATCAGCAGTCAGAAGTAGACAGTAGTAGTTTTTTTCAAGCAGGATAAGCTCAATGTAACTTGAACCTATCCATTTTTAAGGAGAACAAACATTGTTGAATTACTAGTTTGAATTACTTGCAGCTGAGGAAAAGTGCACAGGGAAAGTATTTATGAGTGAAATCTGTTTAGACCCTTTTCAAAATATAATTACAGTATCAATATGATGCACATTGAATATATTTTACACATTGTGTACATTGTTCCTGTTGTCGTACACACGTGTATTCTATGGTTATACACAACACACTACACGAATACATACACGTGTGGATTGAAGTAGCAAGTTAGCACCATTCAACTCACTACTAACACAACTCATTCATTAAACTCGTTTCTTTCTGCACCATGATATTCACCTAACTTCCATTATCAAATCTAGAGTCCGGTTCTTAACACCATAATTCTGCATTCCTGCGTAACTACATTATGTCTTGTGTTTCTATGTGTCATTCTGCTTCGTTGTGTGTGTGTGTGTGTGTGTGTGTGCGTGCGTGCGTGCGTGCGTGCGTGCGTGCGTGTGTGTGTACGGCCGGTTACGTGTGAACTTTGTCAACATTTTTTTTTTCAGGTTTTTGTGTCTTGTAATACAATCTATCGGTAGTCTCTACACATGTTTTCTGTCCTTGTTTCATTTAAATCTCCTCCTCTCTCCCTCTCTCTCGTTTTCTTTCTCTCTCGCTCGCTCTCTGACCGTCGCTCTCTCTCTCTCTTTCTCTTTCTCTCTCTGTATTTCTCTGTCATTCTCTCTCTCTTTCTCGTACTCTCTCACAATCTGTCGTTTCTATTTATTGCTTATCGGTATGGAGAACATAGTACCGCTATTTGCTTCATTGTTTACTCATATACTTCTACTTGCTGCAGTTATCTCTCTTGACGTTTGTCGTTACTAATACAAACCTTTTTTATTATCAAAAGTGTGTACAAACATAACCATTCGGGTTGCAACTACTTAAGAAGTCTCTGGGCGTACATCTGTTGAGTGTTTTTGAATTGTTACTGCCCAACAATGTTTATCTCATCTGCTCTGATTTATCTACCTGCTGTGACCTTAATAGAAACTAGATTTATATCTGTGAGCATTCATAAACACCTTTGTATAGAATGTTAACTTGTCCGTTGTCTGGGCAGTGGTGTGTTAAACAAAGAGATTAGCCAGCCGTCACTGTTATTAAAGAATAAGAGGGCCAGCCTTGCATTTCGTATACGAATGTTAGGCTTATACCGATGCAGCGCAAAATGGGGTTTAAGTAAGCGAACAATTGTACATTGCAGCGCGTTTACGTCGGCTGATGTTTGGTTGTCTCATTTACACAGTGTTGCCAGTACCGATATCAGAAGTCCCTTTCAACACTCTGCTTCTTTGTGCAATAACCGTGATTGTCCATGATTTATTTTGGTGGTGTAAAATGGGCGGTTATGTTGCTTTGCTGCTGTACAGCTATTGTAGTGCTGTAGCTTCATGTATCGCTATCTATCAATCTATCTATCTATGTGTGTATGTATTTATCTATCTATGTGCATATCTATCTATCTATGTGCATATCTATCTATCTATCTATCTATCTATCTATCTATCTATCTATCTATCTATCTATCTATTTATCTATCTATTTATCTATCTATCTATCTATGTGTGTATGTGTGTATCTATCTATGTGCATATCTATCGATCTATCTATCTATCTATCTATCTAACCAACTAACTACATACATGCATACATATAAGAATAGCCGTTCGTGTATGTTAAATTGTTTATTTGTGATATTTATTGCTCGTTTTATTGAAACATGTTTTGTGTACTATTCATGAATGCATGTTTATATCTAGGTTTATCGATCTAATCCTAATAGCGTTTCATTTCGTAGCATATTACGCAAGTATGAGAGTGAGGTTGTGCATATGTTTGTTGCGTAATACCGTTGAACCCCATTTTTAATTTAATTAGGCCAACTGCATTCAATTTTCCTGCATGCACCCGTGCGCGTATGTATCGCGTGTGTGCTGTGTGTGTGTGTGTGTGTGTGTGCGTGTGCGTGTGCGTGTGCGTGTGCGTGTGCGTGTGCGTGTGCGTGTGCGTGTGCGTGTGTGTGTGTGTGCGTGCGTGCGTCTGTCTGCGAGTGCGCGCATGCGTGTGTGTGTGTATGTGCGTGTGTGTATGTGTGTGTGTGTGTGTGTGTGTGTGTGTGTGTTCGTGCGTGTGTGAGTGTGCGTGCGTGCGTGCGTGCGTACGTGTGTCTGTCTGCGAGTTGCCGCATGGCGTGTGTGGTGTGTGGCATGTGTGTGTGGTGTGTGGTGTGTTGTGGTGTGCTGGTGGTTTGTGCTGTGTGTGTGTGTGTTGTTGGGTGTGTGTGGGTGTGTGGCTGTGTGTGTCGTGTTGTGTGTGTTTGCGTGAGCAACTATGCGACTTGTGGCGCGATGCGTCTGTTGTAAAGTGCGCGTGCCAGTGGGTGTCTTGGGATATAGGGTGGTACGCGTCAGTGGTGCTAGTGAAGTGTTTTGGAGTATTAGGTGTGTACGTGCGTGGTGCAGGTATGTGGTTTAGGTGTTACGTGCGGGTCTAGTGATGTTAGGGGTACGGTGTGTAGTGGCGTGGTGCTAGTGTGTTTGGTGTAGGTGCGAAGCGCGTGTGGCCACGTAGTTTTGGGTAAGTGCGTACCCGCGGTGCGTCTCAGTGAGTTTTGGTATAAGGTGTGACGTGCGTGTGCAGTGAATGTTGGGTGAGATTGGTACGTGCGTGGTGCTAAGGTGATGTTATGGGTGAGGTGCGACGCGCCGTGTGCTAGGAGTTTGGGTAATAGGGCGGACGCGCGTAGTGCAGGAGTGTTGGTAAGGTGCGGACGTGCGTGGTGCTTAGTGAGTGTTTTGGGTGTATGCGGACGCCGTGTGCTATGAGTGTTTGGTAGTGTGTAGATGCGTGGCTAAGTGATTGTTGGGTTAGGGGTAAACGTCGTGTGCTATCAGTGTTGGTAGTGTGTACGTGCGTGTGCTAGTGAAGTGTTTGTTGTAGGTTTGTGTAATGCGTGTGAGCTAGTGAGTGGTTGGGTGTAAGTGTGTACGTGCGGGTGCATAGTTAGTGTTTAGGGTGTAGGTGGTGTACGTGCGTGTGCTAGGGAGATGTTTGGGAGTGCGGACGCCGCGTGTGCTATAGTGAGTGTTTGGGTGAGTGCGGACCAGCGCGTGGTGCTATAGTGAGTGTTACGTTGTAAGGTGTAACGTGCTGTGCTAGTGAGTGTTTGGTGTGAGTCGGACCGCGCGTGGTGCATAGTGAGTGTGGTTGGTGTACGTGGTGTGCTAGTCGAGTGTTGGTGTAGGTTACAGTGGCTGGTGCTAGTAGTGATTGGTGTAGGTGCGAGACGCGCGTGGTGCTAATGAGTTTGGTATGGTGTGTAACGTGCGTCGGTCGGCAGTGATGTGGGTGTAGGTCCGGAAGCGCGTGCTGCTATATTGAAGTGTTGGTGTAGGTGTGTACGTGCGGTGCTAGTGAGTGTTTGGGTTAGGTGATGTACGGCGGGGCAGTGAATGTTTGGGGTGATAGGTTGTACTCGTGGTGCTAGTGAGGTTGGTAAGCGACGTGCGTGTGCTAGTGAGTGTTCTGGTTAGTGCGTGACGTGCGTGTGCCTAGTGAGTGTTGGGTGTAGTGCGGACGCGCGTGGGCTAGTGATGTTGGGTGTACGTGGCGACGCGACGTGTGCTAATGGTGTTTGTTAGTGTGTACGTGCGGTGCTAGTGAGTGTTTGGTGTAGTGCTGTAACGTGCGTGGATGAGTAGTGTTGGTTAGGTTGTACGGCTGCGGGTGGCTAGTGATGTTGGGTAGGTGTACGTGCAGTGTGCTAGTGAGTGTTTGAGTTATACGGTCCGAGTGCGTTGGTGCAAGGGAGTGTTTGGGTAGGGCGGACGTCGTGTGCTAGTGATGTCGGTTATAGTCGCGACGCGCAGTGGTGCTAAGTTGATGTTTGGAGTGTAGTGACGTGGCGTGGTGGCTAGTGAGTTGTGGTAGGTGTGTTACTGCGTGTGTGCTATGAGATGTTTGGGTGCTAGGTGTGAGTGCGTGGTGGCAGTGCGGTTTGGGTGTAGTGTGTACGTGCGGGTGCAGTGAGTTTTGGGTGTGGTGTGTACGTGCGTGTGCTAGTGAGTTGTTTGGGCTTATGTGTATACTGCGTGGTGCTACGGAGTGTTTGATGTAGTGCGGACGCGAGCCGTGGTGCAGGAGTGTGTGGTGAGTGTGCTTGATATCGTGCGAGGTTAAGGATGTGTTGGGTGTAAGGTGTGTACGTGCGTGGTGCTAGTGAGTGTTGGGCGTGTAAGGTGTGTACGCGCGTGTGCAGTGAGTGTTTGGGTAAGGTGTGTTACGTGCGTGTGCTAGTGAGATGTTTGGGTAGGTGTGTACTCGTTTGTGCTAGTGAGTGTTTGGGTGAGGGCGGACAGTGCGGGTGCTAGTGAGTGTTTGTTTGTGGTGTGTACGTGCGTGGTGCTAGTGAGTTCTCTTGGTGAGGTGTGTACGTGCGGGTGCTAGGTGATGTTTGGGTGTAGTTGTGTACGCTGCGTGGTGCATGAGTGTTCTGGGTTACGGTCGGACGCGCGGGTGCTATAGACTGAGTGTATTGGGTTAGATGTGTATATGCGTGTCAGGAGTGTCTTGGTGTAGGTGTGTACGGGCGTGGCAGTGAGGTTTGGGTGTAAGGTGTGTACCGCGCCGTGTGCCTAGAGTGTTTGGCTTAGGTTGTACGTGCGTGGTGCTAGGAGATGTTCTGGGTGTAGGGCGTGACGCGCCTGTCTATGTGGTGTTTGGTGTATGGTCGGACGTGCGTGATGCTAGTGATGTTGGGTAAGGTGGTACGTGCGTGGTGCCTAGTTGAGTGTTTGGTCGTGTAGTGTGTAGCCGCGGTGCTAGTGAGTTGGATGTGTGTACGTGCGTGGGATCGCTAGTGAGTGTTTGGGTGAGGTTGTCCGTGCTGGGCTAGTGAGTGTTGGCGGTAAGGTGTGAACGATGCTGGTGCAGTGATGTTTGGTTAGTGCGGACCAGCGTGGTGCTAGTATTTTGGGTGAGTTTGTACGTGCGTGTGCTGTAGTGAGTGTTGGGTGTAGTTGACGCGCGGTGCTATGAGTTTTGGCGTGTAGTGTGTACTGCTGGTGCTAGTGAGTGTTTGGGTATAGGTGCGGACGCCGCAGTGTGTCTAGTGAGTGTTGGGTATTGTGCGAACGCGCGTGGTGCTATAGGGATGTTGGGCTGTAGTGTGTTACTGTGCTGTGCTAGTGAGTGTTGGCCAGAAAAAAAAAAAAAAAAATAAAAAAAATATAGTGCGGACGCCGTGGTGCTATACGTGAGTGTTTGGGTTGGTGTGGTACTGCGTGTGCTAGTGAGTGTTTGGGTCAAGGTGCGGACGCGACGTGTGCCTAGAGAGTGTTTAGTATAGGTGTTACCGCTGCGTGGTTGCTAGTGAGGTTTCGGGTGTAGGTGTGTACCGTGCGTGCTGGCAGTGAGTGTTTGGGTGTAGTGGCTGCCGGCGCGTGTGCTTATAGTAATGGGCGTGTAGGTGTGTAACGTGCGTGGGCTAAGTGATGTTTTGGGGTGTAAGCGTTGTTAACCGTGCGTGGGCTGTGAGTGTTGGGTGATGGTGTTACCGCGCGTGGTGCTAGTGAGTGTGGTAAGTGCGGACGCGCGTGGGCTAGTGAGTGTTGGGTGTAGGTGTGACGGCGCGTGGTGCTAGTGGAGTGTTGGGTAAGCGGGACGCGCGCTGGTCTAGTGTGTTTGGGTGTAGTGCGGACGCGTCGTGGGCAGATGAGCGTTAGGTGAGGTGCGGACCGCGTGGTGCACGTCGAGTGTTGGGGTAGGTGTTAAGTGCGTGGTGACTATAGTGAGGTTTGGGTGTAGTGTGACGTGCGTGGTGCTAGTGAGCGTATGGGTGTAGGTGTTACGCTGCGTGTGCTAGTGAGTTTGGGTTAAGTGTGTACTGCGTGTGCTAGTTGAGTGTTTGGGTTAGTTGAGTGAACCGCGCGTGTGCAGTGATTGTTTGGGTGTAGGTGCGAGACGCGCGGGTGCTAGTGATGCTTGCGTTAGTGTGTAACGCGTGTGACTCAGTATGTTGGTGAGGTGCGGACAGGCGTGTCAGCTGAAGGTTTAGGTGTAGGCGTGCGGACGCCGCAGTTGGTGCTAATGAGTGTTTGGGTGTAGGGTACAGTGCGTGGTGCTAGTAGTGCGGCGTGTAGGTGACGTGCTGTGCTAGTGAAATGTTGGGTAGGTGTGTACAGTGCGTGTGCCAGTGATGTTTGAGGTGTAAGTGTGTACAGTGCGTGTGCTAGTGATTTTGGTGTATGTGTACGGTGCGGGTGCTAGGAGGTGGAGTGAGGTGTTACGTGCGTGGTGCTAGTGATGTTTGGGTGTAGGTCGGACCGCGCGTGTGCAGTGATGTTCTGTGTAAGGTCGGACAAGCGCCGTGTGCATATAGTGTTGGGTGGATGGTACGGCTGGTGCTACGTGAGGTTGGGTGTAGGTGCGTACGCGCGTGGTGCTAGTGAGTGTTTGGGTATAGGTGTGTACGTGCGTGGTGCTAGTGAGTGTTTGGGTGTAGGTGTGTACGTGCGTGGTGCTAGTGAGTGTTTGGGTGTAGTCGGAGCGCGTGGTGCTAGTGAGTGTTGGGGTCGGTGCAGACGCGCGTGCTGCTAGTGAGTGTTTGGGTGTAGGTGTGTACGCCGTGTCTAGATGTTTGGGTTTAGGCGGACGCGGCGTGTGTCAGTCGATGTATTGGGTGTGTGTGCGACGGACGCGTGGTGCTATAAGTGAGTGTGGGTTAGGGTGTACGTGGGTGCTAGTGAGTGTTTGGGTGAGTTGTATGCTGTGTGGCTAGATGAGTGTTTGGTGTAGGGTGTACGGCGTGGTGCTATGGTCGATGGGTGAGGTGTTACTGCGTGTGACATGAGTGTTGTGTAGGTGCGGACGCGCGTGGTGCTAGTGAGTGTTTGGGTATAGGTGCGGACGCGCGTGTTTGGGTGCTCGGCTGGTGCATGCGTGCGGGTGCGTGCATGTGTGCGTATGTGCGTTTGTACGATAGGCATGGTAGGATATGCGTCGGTACCCTAGTTTGTGTGTTCTGCCTGCGTGCGGGTGTTTGCCTACGTAGCTGCGTACCTCATGCATGCACAGTGTGCCTGAGTGCGCCTGCGCAGTCGTCTGTTTGCGTGCCTACGTGAGCCTGGGTGGGCGCGTGTGTAGGCGTCTGCTTTTCTGCTTTCGCGCAGCTAACCAGCTATACGTGCTAAACCAGCTATACGTGCGTGTACGGCGTGCGTGTGCACGCGCACCTACCCGCGCGCCTGCGTGGGCGCGCGTACAGGCGGGGATATGCTGCCTCCGCATTTACCTATCTGCTGACCATCCATAGGCCGGGCGTTCGCCTGCGTACCTACCTGTCTTTATGCTCACGGGCTGTGCGTGCATCTGCCCGTCTGCTACGTGCGCGAATATGGACCTGATCAGGCATGCGTGCACTTGCACGCGCCTCCCTGACCACCCACGGACACGTGCGCGTGCGTGCGCGTGCCCACACGCCTACCCGCCTACGCGCGCGCATTCCCGCGTGCCCGTCCGCCAACCTACGTACGCACGTGCGTGCACGTTCCTGCATCTGTGTGCGTGCGTGCGTCCGTCGTGCCTTGGAAGCCTGTGTCCGTCATCCTCTCTCCCAACATCCAGCGCTCAGCGCTCACTCGCTGTTTCTTGCTCCGCAGCTGCGCGTCGTGCGAGCATTCCGAAGCACGCTAGAGGAGGTCGAGGACGGCCGCTCCATCCACAGTCTACACTCCATGCACTCCCTGCGCTCATCCCGCTCACATCACCGCCCCCTCTCTGAGATTCAATTCATCGACGACCCCCTGAAGTCCCCCACGGACTCGTACGAGATTCCATACACCGCGATGGCACCACGGGACAAGTACGAAATACCGTACGAGATATTACCCGATGCCGAGGTGGTCAACACGGCCGAGATGGTCCCGCTGATGGATAGCAAGCAGAATGGGTTCAGCACCAACCCGGGCTCGAACCACGACGGCGGCAATGGCTCCAACCCCGGTGTGAACAACCACGGGGCCAGCACTCTCAGCAGTCCCAATTCCATAAGTACGTCAATCCGTGAGAGTAATGTTTAATCGAGGGCAATGCGGCGGTCTCTCGCTACCGGCGGACGCGCGCTACCTTCCTCCTGCCTCTGCCTCTCTCTGACTCTCTCTTTCTCTCTCTCCGTCTCTCGCTCTCTCGATCTCTCGTTTCCTCTTTCCCGGAGATGGCACAGGGCAACTGCGACAGCGATTAAAAAAACACCCGACCCTCGTGGGAACAACAGGGTACTAACACTCTATGTTGTTACGGTGTTGAATCGTGTTAACCTCGTGTGTTAGTGAATGAATGCTAACAGTAGACTTAACATAAAAGCATCCGAGGTTTTATTATAGGCTGTCTGTAGTAACACCTATGTGCTTATATAGCTAGCAGTTTCTAGTCCTGTGCGCCACCCAGGCACGCCTGTCAGCCCGCTGTGATCCACGGTGGGCTAGCCTTGGCTGTTAACTGTTGGCACTACCATGGTGCTCGTATTTCTACGGTGTTGTTTGAAAGGTGGGTGAGTATGTTGAAAAGCAGAGACAGTGAGATGGCTTATAATATCAGCGTGGCCATCTAGCTGTGCAATAAAACGCTATGTACATTGTGTACTAGAGGGAAACCTTCCCATGTTTTTTAGATATATAGTTGAACCCTTAGCTGCTGTTTATTTTGTTGACGATATCGTTGTCTGTTCATCTCTCAATACGTGCTGCAGCCAAATGATGCTGTGCAGTGACTTGTGCTGTGTGTTCTATCTCACGCTGACGCTCCGTAAATGTTCTGGAACTGTTAGGCATGCGTGTAGAACGAACTCAGCAGAGTCGCGCTCCCGTAATAGTTCTATGGAGGCGGGTCACTCCACACCAGCGTGCAGCGAGCGCGTTTAGAAAGCTGGCAATCACCGTAAACTAATAATTGCCACCCCAGAACCGATCATCACTGCCACACCTGATGCTGCAGAAGACATAGTGGTCACGTAAACTCAACTTGACTACGTTTGATTTTACGAGGTGCGCCTCCCAATACAACAACAACTGGCTGTCTAACGATGCTCGTGGTCTGAAAAGTAATACGAGTTCTTGCGTGTGAAATGTGTTGGAGGGAAAATAAAATGTGATGTGAAAATGTTAAGTAGCCTTAGAAAAACACCATTGAGCTAGTTGTTTTACCTGGAACAAAAATTCATGGCCGGTTGCATCTCCCCTCAGGGGCAACATCGGGCTAGTTTTTTTTATTCCTATATAACTCAGGGTAGAGATATCCTAGATCACTAGATGTGAAGTAAGTGGTAGCAGACATTATAAAGGAAATTACTTAAAGAAACGTCGGGTTTGTTACTACTAAACGGCTTTGCGGTGGTACACAACCATGATATGTGAGTAAGGTGGTTATGAAATTCGGCCAAATTTGAATTACCAAAGTCAGCATACAGCGAAATTTAAGGTTATGTGTCTAATGCAATCAAAACATCTTGCTGCTGCTGCTGTAGATGTAAGTAGATGGTACAAGGTAGCAAAGCACGGTTCGGCTGTATCGGTTATTTGTCACGGGTGGTACTCGCACCCGTTGGGCTGTCTGTGGGTATAGCGCTATGGATTCATAGGAAGGAGTATTCGTATGTGACATAAGGCTACATTTTTTAAGTATCATAATGGGATATTGGCGAGTTTTCCTGGGTGGGACGCACCCATTTTTAGTAAAGCATCATTATGTCATATTGCCGAGTTTCCCTTCTAATCAGGAAATGACTGACGGAAAACTAGACGGTGTCTATAACGTGCCGTGGATGATGGGGTGGGAACACACTATGCAGATCCACTCTCATATACCGGTCCAGGAAATTATATAAATGACCATTCACTAAGTTTTCGGCTAGATGTAGATTTCATTTTAACCAGACCACATTTGCCGGCAATATTGCGCTCTAAGGCACGATAAAGCTGAGGACCTTCCCGCCCGATCCATCTAACACGCCAGCCAGACCTCGGTGCTTAGCAGTGACAGCCACCAGGGGGAGCCACGTGCTCCGTGCGTCGTCGTCGCGGTGCGTAATGTTCGTGTTTCTCGTTAAGGTGATTGGTGGCCAGCTTTCGGAGAGACTGATCGCTGTACCTTTCAGCAGGCGACCAACTGACCAGGCCGTAAGGCTCACTGTTTCCGTACTCTTGTAAAGCTAGTCGCCGCAAGTCATGTTAGTCGTGTGTTGCTTGGCTCGCTTCATTGCTGTTGATTTCACGGTCGCAGGCGGGACTGGTGCTGTGCCGAACACCAATAAACAGTAACCCACATGAGCCCAAACGTCAATGTATTTACGTTTGAGAATATTAAATGCGGAAGACGCATGTGGAGAGAAAAGAGCAGATGTAGAGAAAATGTATATGCGTATGTAAAGGAAAGGACATATATAAAACCTAAGACATATGAAAAGGAGAGGACACATATAAAACCTAAGACATATGATATGAAAAGGAGAGGGTATCTATAAAGGAGTTGACATATGTAGAGGAGAGGACATATTTAGAGGAGATGACATATGTAGAGAAGAGGACGTATGCAAAAGGGAGGGTATATATATATATAAAGGAGAGGACATAACTATAAAGGAGAGAACATGTGTAGAGGATAGGACGTATGTAAAGGGAAGGACGAATATTGGTCGCTACAATATAGAGGAAAGGACATATGTAAAGATGTGGACATATGTAGAGGAAAAGACACATGAGGACGTGTATAAGCGGTATATCTATAAATAAGATTACATATATCGAAGAATAGACTTTATATTGTTTACATTATTATTAATTTATACAATTGCAATTGCAATTGCTTGCAAATGTCACACGAATTGATAATGGGGACTCCCGTATAAGGACATTCAAGGTCACTCACATATGCTGATGACATGTTTCCTATCTTGCGTTTATTGCCAGATATAGTCACGCGCTTAGTCCCCGTCGTGATAGAATAAATGTACATTGCGTGTGCGGTCGGTTAATACAATGTGATAATGATGAGATTGCCGACTCATGAATATGAGCGTGTGTTGAGAACAATTGTTACAGCGAACAAGCAAGAAAATGCGAATGTTGAATCCTAATCGGCATCGTGGTCCCGCCTGTTTATCTGAAATCTGCAGCATAGCATTTTAGATTATATTCCGCCGTTCTAGGACTTCTTGGCAGTGTAAAGTTGTTGTAAGATACCGTGTCGTTCAGGTGTTTGTATTATCTTTAGTAAAGCTGTGATGCGACAGAAGCTACTGTGTGTGTGTTGAGTAACAGTATTTTCAAAAGGTCGATATATTAAGAGTCGTGCGCACGCTAACGGGATGCTAATGAAGGAATTATGTGCTTGCGGGCGCGCAGTGACAATCACGCGACCCAGCGTAGGTTTACGTTTCGCTGCTATTCGTTTGTTGTCGAAATACGTTTCGTGTCTGCGTCGTCGTTAGCAGCTTCGCCGTCTGAGTTCTGTGTGAATGATGACACCTGTATATGCTGCTATACACGGTCTCCCGCCGCTGGAATGTGCCGCCGCCTGGTGGCCAGCATCAGTCACCGTAGTGTTCATGTGCTGGTGGTACATGTCCGCCGTGTGCAGCTATCTAGTAGAATAAGTAGATGATGTTATGAAAGTCTAGAGTCCATGATATAGGGATCTTGTTGCTGCTGCAGCATGTTCAACTGAGAGATAAACCGGCATGTGGTACGTTATTGCATAGATTCCCGTGACTGTCTGTCATGTTGTCAGATCATGTTTTATACGTTGTGATGTCATTATTATGTCAGAACTGTTCTATACCATTCTGTATATCAGAGGCACACACACACACATATATATATATATTTATATGTATATATATATATGTGTGTGTGTATATGTATGTATATATATATATAACCACTGTAAATGCTCCTGTTGTGTATGTCTTACTGGTAGTCTGCATTTGGCTATTGTATTTGGATGGGATCACGCGTTTGTTTCTGTCGTTCTACGTGTATATACATGCTTGCCTGCACGCACGCACACTCTCATAAGCATGAAGACGCATTTATGATTTATCATGCACTCGTACTTGTGCACAGTGCATGCATGCGACTGTGTGCGCCAATCTAGCCACACACGTCACTCGCATGTGACTCGCATGGTCTGACCTCTACCTCGGGGACGTGTCGTCCATCATAGTCGCGACACTTCGGCGCATGCGCATGCGTCCACACCACTGCAACATCACCCCCCGCATCTCTCATCACACAGCCCCACCCCCCCAGCCGCCGCCGCCCCGCATCGTGTCGGTGACGTGGAGGTCCGTCATGCGGGCCGTGGTCACCGCCACCGGCGACGTCTCATCCTGCTTCGTTTACTGTTTCATTTCAGATCCGCGTTGTTAATGCTTTCCGCGAGGGCAGTGACACCCCAACTAGCCTAGCAACCAACCCTTCTCTCCAAAACGTGCTCTCCCAGTGGCAGGCCAAGCGGCCGTCGACGTGCGACGCTATGCCGTATGTTCGCTCTCCGTCGCAGCCGGCGGCCAGCCCCAACCGTGTTGAGAGCATAGAAGAGATCCAGGAGACGGAGACCGCGTTGTAGCCACCTCTAGCTACGTGTAGCACAGACAGACACACACACAGACAGACACACACACACACACACACACACACACACACACGCACACACACACGTACACACGACGCACACACGTACGTACACGCGCGCGCGCGCACGCGCGCACTAAAAACACACACACACACACACACACACACGCACGCACACACGCACGCACGCACGCACGCACGCACGCACGCACGCACACACACACACACACACACACACACACACACACACACACACACACACACACAC